ATATAGTATAACCAAACACCCTTTGACACCAACTTTACTCATAACCATTACCAACATATCTCATAACTACTAACACATATTAGCATAACCAAATACCCTTTTGAACCCACTTTGGCTCATAACCATTACTCACATATCTCATAACCACTCATAACTATACGCTTCCGTACAACATATTCATAACCACTAACACATTGTAGCATAAACCAAATACCTTTTGACACCACTTTGCTCATAACCATTACCCAACATATCTCATAACCACTCATAACCATTACCCCATATCTCATAACCACTAACACTATATAGTATAACCAAACACCCTTTGCACCACTTTACTTCATAACCATTACCCACATCATCTCATAACCACTCATAACCATTACCTTACATATCTCATAACCACTAACACATTATGCATTAAACCAAACTCCCTTTGCACCCACTAATGCTCATAACCATTATTCCCACATATCTCATAACCACTCATAACGCATTATCACATATCTCATAAACCACTAACACAACTATACCATAACAAACATCCTTTGGCCACCACTTTACTCATAACCATTTACCCACATATCTCATAACCACTAACACATCTATAGCATAACCAAACCCTTTTGACAACCACTTGCTCATAACTATTACCCACTATCTCATAACCACTCATAACCATTTACCCACATATCTCAATAACCACTAACAACAGTATAGCATCAAACCCAAACACCTTTTGACACCACTTTGCTCATAACTATTACCCACATATCGTCATAACCACTAACACGTATAGCATAACCAAATACCAATTTGACACCCACTTTGCTCGTAACCATTAGCCACATATCTCATAAACCACTAACACATATAGCATAACCAAACACCATTTTGGACACCACTTTAATCATAACCATTACCCAACAAAAATATCTCATAACCACTAGCACATATATAGCATAACCAAAACACCCTTTGACACCACTTTACTCATAACCATTACACACATATCTTCATAACCAACTCACATATATCATAACTACTAATCACATATCTCATAACGCAAACCTTTTGACTTATAAACTATAACCAACTCTGCTCATAACCAAAATCACATATTTCCGTAATCCACCTAATCAATATCTCATTACCTTTACCCACATATATTATAATCACATTCTCATAACTAGCACCCTTTATTTCATAATCAATATCACATATATCATACACTACTAATCATATATCTCAAGAACACTACCCATATATAGGCGGTATAAATTTTAAGCCCATGAAGCTGCGCGGCACACCCCAAGTCCGCTCGCTGCCCTGGGAAGGCACTAAACTAGGCTTTGAGTTCTAAACCCAACCTAAGACCCTAGAGCTATGTGTTCTAGAGCCCGACCCGCCCTTGGTGTGTTATGGAGTGTGACCCATCCCTGGATCGCCCCGAATTTTTTTTTTGGATTTCAGCCAACCCACGCTGCCACGTCACTTGGGGTGCCACTGGGGGTCGGAAGGCAATGCCCCATGAGGACTAATTAGAACAACAGATTGCAACGTTGGGACCAAAATTGGATGCAACTGTCTGTTTGGATTGGGATTTATCGGTAAATATCCCAAAAATTTAATTGAAAAATATCCCAACAGTTCTAATAACATATGTACAAATTGGATAAAATCATAAACTACGGCCAAAGGTTTGTTTTATATGTATGACATTATTAATGCGAAGAGCAGCCAAGCTTTTTTGAGATAAAATCGTATTTACTAGATAAAGAAATGTCCCAAAAATGAATAGTGTTGAAATAGAACAAAAGAAAATAGTGAACGAGTTCAAGGATCTATTGCAAAGACACAAGAGTATAGAGAGAAGAATCCAAGCTGAGGAAGAACTATCAACACGATGGTCGTTCCGATGTTTATTCAGCGAAATAGAGAAGGTCGATTAAGAAATAGAGAGAGCCCAGGCGCAACTGAGGACAAATCAAGAGACAAGAAAATTGAGTGGAAAAAAATTGAAGAAAAAGTTGGGAAAAAATTTAGGAGAAAAATTATTTAGGCAACAAAATAAAATTACATCATAGATAATTTTTATCACCATATTTTTTAATTAAAATTAGTTAAATTATAATATATATATATATATGTCTATAAGTGTATATAATATTTTAAAAAGTATATTGGTTGTATATTATTATTTCTATTATGCTTTATGGAAGATACCATGACTAAAATAAATCTAAAATAGAGATTAGGTGATCAATTGCAATTGTCCACTAGGGATGACAACTTCAAAATATTAATTGAGAGAAGTTGAGAGTTTAGAGGAGGAATTGAGAGTTTTGATAACAGATTTGTTTGTGAGAAATAAAATGTGAGAGGGGTGTGTATTTATAGGAACTTGGGGAGGAGGATGTTAAATGTATATATATATTATATATATAAAATAAAATAAAAATAAAAAATTGATTGTTGGTGGAATTTAATGGTTATATGATTCTTCAAAATTGTTTTGATTTTAAATTTTTTACCATTGCACTTGACAAAAGGGGTAGGGAACCCATTGGCTGGTCGGGTCGAGCCAGATGGGGAAGAAAATTTCCGAGACGAGGCTCCGAGATGGGTCACCACTCCATAAAACACCAAGGTCGCGGCCGGGCTCTAGAACACATATCTTAGGTTGGGTTTAGCACTCCGAGCCTAAAGTTGGGCCTACCTAGGACACGAGGTAGAAACCCCTTTGGGGTTGGTGCCGCAAGCTGCGTGTGGGCCAAATTTACACCCCCTATATGTGTTAGTGGTTATGAGATATGTGGGTAATGGTTATAAGTAAAGTGGTATCAAAAGGTGTTTGATTGTGCTATATGTGTTAGTGGTTATGAAATATGTGGGTAATGGTTATGAGCAAAGTGGTGTCAAAGGGTATTTGGTTATGCTATATGTGTTAGTGGTTATGAGATATGTGGGTAATGGTTATAAGTAAAGTGGTATCAAAAGGTGTTTGATTGTGCTATATGTGTTAGTGGTTATGAAATATGTGGGTAATGGTTATGAGCAAAGTGGTGTCAAAGGGTATTTGGTTATGCTATATGTGTTAGTGGTTATGAGATATGTGGGTAATGGTTATAAGCAAAGTGGTGTCAAAAGGTGTTTGATTATGCTATATGTGTTAGTGGTTATGAAATATATGGGTAATGGTTATGAGCAAAGTGGTGTCAAAGGGTATTTGGTTATGCTATATGTGTTAGTGGTTATGAGATATGTGGGTATATGTGTTAGTGGTTATGAGATATGTGGGTAATTGTTATGAGCAAAGTGATGTCAAATGGTGTTTAGTTATGCTATATGTGTTAGTGGTTATGAGATATGTGGGTAATGATTATGAGCAAAGTGGTGTCAAAGGATGAGGTTATGCTATATGTATTAATGGTTATGAGTTATAAGATATTGGTTATGTAACTAGTGGTTGTGAGATATGTGATGTTGGTTATTAGATATGTAACTAGTAGTTATGAGATATGTGATGTTGGTTATGATCAAAGTGGTGTGGTTATGAGTAAAAATGTGTTAATTATAAGATATGTGATTAGTGGTTATGAGATATGTGATGTTGGTTATGATAAAAAGGTATTGGCTACGAGATATGTGACTAGTGGTTATGAGATATGTGATTTTGGTTATGACTCAAAGGGACTAGTTATGAGATGTGGTTATGATTTATGTGGGTAGTAGTTATGAGATATGTGATCAATGGTTATGCGATGTGTGATATTTGTTATGTTTAAAGTGGTGTTGGTTATGAGATATGTGTTTATGATTATGAAATATGTGATATTAGTTATAAACAAAATGGTGTTGGTTATGAGATGTGGTTATAACTAAGTTATGATCAATTTGATTATAGTTATGAAAAAATATGATTTTAACTCATAACTATAAAAAGTGACCTGTTTAGCCGGTCATTTTTAATGATGTGGCTCAATCCTAGCTATTGATTTTTTATGTACCGTACATTTTTTGAACAAAATGTACTATAGACTTTCCCTCTCTTTTAAGCTTCAACGCATCCTTCTTCATCTTGCGTTCATTCTGTCTTTTTTCTTCAAGGCGCTTTGCAGCCTCAGCAGCCTCCAGTGCCTTCACTTTGATATCTCTCTTCCTTACAAAGTGCCACAAAATGTCCTGATCTACGTACTAAATGAAAAATAGAAAAATAATTTTACCAATAAAAAAGGAACGTAGTCAAACAGATATGCAAGGTAGCTTCTAAGTTCTGAAATTCATGTGAAAGTTGGAGGATTGAAAGTGTAATTTACCCAAAGAAAGATTGTTGGTTCCTCATATACAAAAGAAAAAATTAAGCAAGTAAACAAACAAATCCAAAAAAAAAAAATCGAAAAAAATTACCTGTGCCAACTGCAGCTGCTTGTTTTTGTTGAACTAGTGGAAGAAAGGAAGTGATGTTTGAAACAATATTATTACGCTTAGACTCCCTCTCTAAGTGATTCTGCCCACTTTTCCTCAAACTTGTTTTCCCTGACAATTTTGGCTTACTGAATCTGTTGTTTAGTGACTCAGTTGCCTTCTTAATACAATTTGTGCTTATTGATAAATAGCGGTTCTCCTTTGCCTCGTTTGTACATCTCCTCTTATTGCTGTAGCAATTACCAAGCTTCTGTTTGATCCCACTTTGGGCCCCAGTAGCACTGACTTCAGTGTTTGTGGAATCTAAACTATTTCTATCAAGAAATCTTTCTGCTGCAGAAACTGATGTAGGAGGGTTCACACATGCTTCTTTTATCTCTGCAAGTGGTTGTCGTTTGGCACAAGTCATCAGTGTTGAAGAAATGTCCTCTTGGATTGTATCGGCCACCTCATCTATATTTTCATTCTCTCCACTAATGCTGGGATCTTCCTCAATTGGGAAGCATGTAAGCTCTGGGTTTAAGCTCCGTTGCTTCCCTGAACTACTAGAGTTTGATGAAATTCTGTCCCAGAGCTTCCAATAGGAGACATATAAGGTTTTTCAAAAACCAAAACGAGCATCAGTGTATGGTACACAATCAGAATACAACACTCCTTCGAAAGCACACTTCATTTCATCCACACAACTATAACTTGCCCTGAGATGTTTTCCACCATCATCATTTAGATTTAAGGTACTCCTCAGGTCCATGTGCTCAAGAAGTCCATTTGGTACAGACTGGTATAAATCTGGTGTTCCATGCAATTTGAATGTAGCTGAGAATTCAGACAGTGGGGTATGCCTGCTAGCAGATTTGCAAAGCTATTCCAGAACACTAGCACGTTTTACTGTGGTACTTGGAAGGTCCAACTTGTCAAAGCTAATTGCATCTCCAACAATATGTGGTTGTTCATTCTCTTCACGGTGAATAATGAACCCCTCAAACTCAGGCATAGTTTGATCAGCACCAGTTGAAGCCACGTGCTTGTCTTGTGGAGACTCAACTGAACAATATGAAAATAAGCCATCCTCTTCGAAATGAGATTTCGTTTCCTGCAGTATCCTCTCAGTATGAATCAAGTCATCCTTATTTTCCATGGTGCCATTACATTCAGAATGCTGCAAATCTTTGAAATTTTGTTCATCACACTGCTTCCTTACATCAAGGACAATGCTAATTGTATCTGCTGGTCCCGCATTCTCCATAAAGCAACCATGGGAGTCTCCTGCTGCCTCTTTGGTCAAACTTGAAACTAAGGATGGCCCAATTTGTCCATGCGTGGATGTTGATTCGTCCTGTCCAACACACAATATCAAAAAAGAGAAGATAATATTCCTGTCTCAGGGAAAAATATAAGGTGCAAAGGAATCTGTTTTAGTAGCATCAGCACATACTACAAAACACAGAATCATTAACTGGGGCAAGAGGCAGAGGGAAGGGATGACCAGAAGGGAACCTGGCACCAAAGTTTTCAAAAAGCCCCACATTATATGAGGATTTCTTTGAAATCTTTTCATTCACTCTGGGTCCCCAATTTAAGAATGGGTCATGCTAATGACCAGCCATGGGACTGTCGTTAAGGTGGAGAAATGCCAAAATATAAATAGTCCCAATACACTTTTTACATATTTCATAACACTGCTACATATTTCTATACACTTTCACACATTTTTATACACTTTTTACATGTATATTGAGGCTAATGACTGGAGCATGAACTATTTAAAATCAATTTACATGATCCATCCCGTTGCCGTAGAAGTCAAATATAGTTAGAGAAAACACTAGATAATAATTCAACATTTGAGAATTTATGATCATTTTCTAGATCAACATTTCAAGGAATGACCTATAATTTTTAGACCTCCAATAGAAACACCACAATCATAATTTTCCAGAGGCTTTCTACATATAATTGTCAAGCAACCTACCCAGTCCAACGTTAATATGACTGTCAAAACAACATAAGATGACAATTCTGATTCATTATCTTCTCTCCCAATAAGCCAGCTAGATATGTACATTAACCTTAGAGAACAAAAATTCTTGCTACAAAATAAATAGTACCTGTTCAAGTTGCAGCTCTGGTGAAGGCTCAATTCCTTCGGACAAATGGTAGTTTACCTTCTGGTTCAGTTCCATATCAGGACTCTTATCAGCATTCAATTGTGCTGCATCCCCCTCGTGAGAAACTGGCAAGAATTCAATTTGTAAAACAGTTTCTAAATTATCTTCCATGCTCTTCACATTTTTGTTCGTGGTGTGCCCTCCCATACCGTGAATCTCTTTCACCCTAAAGCTAGGGGAAGCGGAGAAGAAATTAGTTTGTTGGCTGTCAATCCTTCTCCGCTTAAACTGAGGCCAGGAATCCTCTGAAACAGACCTTAATCTTCTTCCCAGCTGTAAAGAGCTCTCTAAAAGTTGGAGTTCTCTTATTTCAGAAGAACTAAAATTCTTCTCCTCACTATGCAGAGAACCAACTGAACCACATGCTAATAAGCCATCTTCTCCCACATGTGATTTTCTTTCCAGCAGGGTTCTCGCACTACAAGCCAAACCACCACTCATATTTCCCTCATCAAGTTTATTTTCAATGCACATCAAGTCTTGGTTATCTTCTTCATAGCACTGCCTTACATCAAGAACAGCACTGCTTGGATCTGTCATTCCCACCTCCCCAACCAGGCAACCTTGAACTCCAACTGAGTGTTTGGTCAAATTTGAGACAAGGGATCCTATTTGTTGGTGCTTGAACGCAAAAGGGGTTGTCTTATTTGTATCCCTTCCATCACAGCCAATTTCACCCTGTCAAGTATGAGAGGTTTGCGTCAAAGTTGGAACCCTCAGTAGAGATCAGTTCAATTTACCTTTTGTTTTAAAGTTTGAAGTAAATGATGTTTCAGTATGATCACAAACTGATACAAGTCATGTGATGCCGCAATTTCAGGGATGTAACGTTTTCCAGCTGAAATGTCTACTGTTTTACAGCATGGCATTTAAAAAGGTAACCAATGTAGAGTTGCTAAACTAATTATTGAAAAGTAATGAACTTTGGCTAAAGGAAGTGATCTCCAACACAGAACCAGTATGCAGGGGATAACAAACATGCGCATTAGATACACACAAAAATGAAATAGATTGATACATATACACATATGCAATATGTCTAGTAGTTGAAGAACTTCAAAGAACTGAAAATAATTACCTCCTCAACTTGCAGCCTGGGTGAAGACTCAAATCCTTTCGCTATATGACATGTCACCTTTTGATGCATTTCTACACCAGGGCCCTTATCAACATTTAATAGTGCAACATCCGCCTTGTGAGAAAAAGGGAAGTGTTGAATTTCTACGACAGCATCTGAATTATCTTCAGCATTCTGAAGGTTCTTATTGATATCTAATTCGGATACCTCTTCATCAACTACAACACACTCTTCCACACAGGTTTCAAAAGAAACCCTCCTAGGCTCTTCTCTTTTGTTTGAGACCTCTTGCTCCAGTGATTGCATCTCCAAGGACTTTCTGCAAGGGTCATCAAAAGTTACTTTATCTAGTGATGTGGCAGACTTCACTACAGTACATCTTTTCCCTGATGATTTGTCCAGCCTTTCCTTTTCCATAATAGGGTTAAAGGTTTCATTCAAGCTGCACTTTTCCTCATCATCAAGGTCAAGTGTCTTGCGCTTCACAGACATACTACAATCAGATGGTGGCCTCGAGAGAACAATTTCCAACCCTACACTTAAGCCAGCAGCATCCAAGTTAGACTCACAACAAGCTGCTCGAGCATCAACTGGCCCATCTAAAATACGGTCTGGTTCTGTGACATAATCAGCCTTTCCTTCCTGGTTAGCAATAGCATCAGTGTCAGGACAATATGGGATTATGTCACCACCTGACACATTCTGAATGACTAGTCCTTCCAACATGTTTAATGAGTTAACGAGTAGAGACTTCTTAGAAGCACCAGATTTGGATCGCGCCACTCGTTGGCTGGCAATATTCGATGAATGTACAGGCTTTGATACTCCTTCAATACAAGTACTTTGTGACGTTGTCTTTCTAGCACCATCATCCTTAGCAATATCAGAAGAACTAAGAAGTTTCAAAGGTTTACTATCGCGGCTAGATAGATTGCAAGAACTTCTAGATCTTGTAATTCTACCGCAATAAATGTTAGCATCCTTTTCCTTGCTTAAGCATTCTACTTTTGCCTGTCTCACTGCATGATTATCCCTAATAATACCAGAAAATTTAGTCAATTCCAATAACTCATTATCACAATCAAGCTGTTGGGAAGCAATCCTAGATATTTTAATAGCACTAGAAGAAGCACCAACATCATTCTCATCAGCAAAACGGCTTTTAGGTGTTGCTTTCGCAGATTTGCGAAGCTCTAGAGCCTTTTGCCTTGACTTGGACCTCTATATCCTGGCAAGTGACTCATCTGGCGCAGTACAGATGTTTGAGGCGCTCGCATCAATCTGCCACTGAGAAGAGGTAACACTCAGGTCCAGCTCAGGGACACAATCTAAGGCACATTCAATGTCATTATCATGGCACTCAGACACAGTTGTTGGCCTATCTCCAGTATTGAAACCTCTGTTGGGCGCATGGGTTCCCGTAAACGACCCTTCTGATGACTCTCCATTATCTCCTATGACAAGTGGCTTATTGTACAGAAAGATGTTGTACAGAAAGACGCTAGGCTGATAATAAATCAATAACTTGTGACAATACTCGAGGAAAAATATCTTGTGCGGACATCTACTTTCATTTCTATTTTATTTTTTTATAGCACCACTGCACTTGACATGGAAATAACCAAGTGCGTTGCACATGCTTTCAGTGTTGGCTTCAACAAATTTCAAACAAGTGCATCCATTTTGGGCCTTCAGTATTGGCTTCCCCAAGTAAGATGGAAGGTCAGGGGTAAGTGAGTTTAGAAGAGCAAATATAGAACCTATTAAGGCTGTATTTGGATTATGAACTCGGGAGATATTGGAAAGGGAAAAACGAGTGAAATGTGAATGAAATATAGCTACATTTCACCTATATTTCACCCACCTTTTCCCTTTCACTTTCCAAATCCATGATCCAAACACATCCTAAAATTAATTCCAAAATTAAATAAAAATTCATAGTTGCGTGTGCAATGTTTGTCTAAGACCCATATAGAAGAAAAATGGGTAGATGCCCTTGACACCAGTCGAGCAGAAATTTGAATGAAATTGAAACACTACTTGGTTACTGAAAATGCGAGAAAAAAAATATGCATTTTAAATCCAAATTTTTATCTTGTATATCTTTTTTTCATCAATAAATTCTCTTTTGCTGATAAAAAAAAAGTAGCAAAAAAATACGCTATCCAATTTTTATTCTTCTTTCACATGTGCCGCTACCTAGAAATTGTTTTGTAGTCAAAGTGTACAAAACATAATAATCACATTATCTCAATTATTTTGACTGAAACACACATCTTTGTACATTTCTTGCCTTTATTTTGCCTTTAGCCCTAAATTATTTCTAAAGAGAGGCAAATTTTGCCTCTGAATTAATTTGTGTTTTTCTTAGGTCAGAAATAGCTTGGAGAGATGCAAAATATGGTCAAAGAATTCAAGGACTTTGTGCTTCAAGTTTTTTAATTTTTTTAATATATGTAATCATAGTTAAATATTTTTTTTATTAATTCATTTCTATATACTTTTGAATATCCAACTTTCATTTATGAAATATATGATGTTATTCCATTCAATATGTGGTTGTGATTTAAATGATAGTATTTAGTCTGTATTACATTCTTCAAATGCGCACAAAAATAATAATGATTATTCTTCAAATATGGCAAACTTTTTTTTTATCACATGCATTAATTGTAATGAGAAATGCATATAGCATGTGATCTTATCTCATTTTTAATCACATGTTTTTATATGTGATCTAAATGTTTATTATCACATGTTGTATTAGTTATACATTACACATAAAAAGTGTGATCTAAATGTTTATTATCACACAAAAAGTGTAATCTAAACATTTATTATCACACGCATAACGTGTGATGAAATCATCTTTTAATGACACTCAAAACGTGATTAAAAATGACCTTTTTAAATTACTCTCAAAGATCACACTTTGACAAAACTTAAAACGTATGATTAAATAACATATATCACCCATAAAAAGTGTGATCTATTTATGATTTTATAGTAGTGTTTCTTCACAACTTCACAAATTTTTTTCATAAATTTAAGATCGAAATACAATCTTAAGATTATCCAAGAAATATCTGATATTCATTTATTTAAATTGTCTTTAGAAATGTTTAAGTAAGTTGTGCAATCTCTAATGGACCCTAAAAAGTGGATGAATATATCTTATAAGTTTAAAACTAAATTAAAATGATATCATTTTAGGATGTGTAGTTTAAAATAAAAACATAATATTTTAATGTCATTTTACTTTAATTTTAATGTTATGTTGTTGAATAATGTATTTCATAGAGATGTTTTACTATGGTAAAAATCATAACAAAATTATTATTAAAAAAATGACAATACTAAAAAGTTGCAAAATAAGAGAGGCACGAACTACTTACGAATCAAAAATTGTTGATTGAATTAGGTAGTTGGTCAAAAGAAAACTAGTTTGAGAAGAAAAATTATCTAATGCTCCTATAGATAATTCAAAGAGAACGGCTTCTTTCCAATTTGAATATGGACTAAAGAATGTTGTTTGGACACTCAGATTGTCTACCCATTAACATATTAAATATTGGGTCAAGTTTTTTATTTGGATCTAATTGTGAATTTGTAAATAAGTAGACAAAATCTTAACTATTAATTTATAAAAAGTGTCAATGTGACAAACATCTATTGCTTGTACTAAACTAAACGTCTAGTTTGAATATCTGGATTGGTTGTGGAATTCGGAAATTCAAACTGGAGGAGCTCCACCCATAGCCAGAAACTGAAGGGAACAACAAGACACATTAAGATCAATTGACTTACAAATAACTGCCATATTCTTTTTAATTGTTTATAACAATCATTCAGTTAATAGTTTATTGTATTGGTAGAGAAAATACAACAATATAGTACACCAAACTATCACAATTGGAAAAAGTAAACCCCACTGTTGATTGTATTTCCATGATTCTTTTCTTGCTTATGAATAACATTTCCAATCAATACTCTTAGAATCACCATTTTCCTACTGTAATTAATCACAAAATCCTCACATCTCAATGGAAACAAGTGCTAGACTATATCTCCAGTGTGATCCCTTAGTCGCCATTGAATTGAGAATGTTTTTACCTCCCAACAAGCAAACTTGGCAATATTTTAAAATGGAGTAACACATCATTATTTTCAGTGCATATTCTCTATCAAGTAGCCAACAATTTTGTCATTCAAAAATGATTAAGAATGAAACAAGGGGAATGGTTTGAGTTGTAACTTTTAAGATTGCATTTTAAAGTTAAAAAGCTTAGCAAGGCCAAGTTTGACTGAAATCCAATTTAAAAGCAACTACATAAAAAAAGTACAAATCCTTAAAGGTTGCGAGAAAAGAAACAAGGAGGAGTCATGATATGCAACTCTAATTTGACTCGTGCTTTAAGAAAACTAAACAACATAACAAAGCTTTAAAACTCAATGCAGCAACAAGGGTAAAATCTTTTAAAGTGATCCTGTATAGCTGCTATCCATGCACATGGACTCAAATGCAACAGCTACATGAGACATCCCTTCAAGTGCACACCATTGCTTTGTTGTGCTACTTAATGGAACTGATCTAGTTTTGAAATAAAAACATTAGCAACTCAATAATATCATATACATAAAAACCATAAAAGATAATTCAACAAAGTAATGCTTCAAAGATAAATTCTACTTACCTAAATGACGCCATTTGTTTTTTGCTGATTTCTTCCTTTATTGCATCAGTGGGCACTCTTCTTAGACCTTTTCACCTTCTTATATTATTTTCCTTCAACAATTTTCATCAGGCATTCTGGACTTTGAGTTACAAACATAAGATATCCCATAATCATTCCAATACAAAGTCGCATCCATACCCCATCACAACAACACTTTCCAGTTAAATCCGCCCTCCCAATCTGAATTTTCATCATGTTGGAGTGTTGGTGAAGGTGGCAATGGCTGTTGTTTCTCACATATCTTTGATAAGGGAAATCCACATAAGGCCAAGTTTCCATTGTATGAATCATTCCCAAATGTATTAAATTGGCTCCCTTGAGGAATTCGTCCCACTAGTTGGTTATCTGAAAGATTTAGTACCTCAAGAAATGTTAGACTTGCCAGTTGCTGCGGAATCTTCCCAACAAACTCGTTTAAGGAAAGGTCCAATGATTCAAGGTTTGTTAACTTTCCAAGTGAAGTAGGGATATGGCCTGTAAGGTTGTTACGAGATAAGTTAAGACCTCGAAGCGAATTAAGCTTCTCAATGGACTTCAGAATCTCTCCTTGGAATTTGTTTCTTGATAAATCAATGATTGAGAAGACCGTTAAGATTCTTGAATATTCAATTTCATATCCTTTCATCATTACCACCACAGAATCTTGATAATAGTATTCACCCATGTATTTCAATTTCAATTCATGTTCATCCACATTCGTCATAGCTTCAAATTGTTTGATATAATTTGTTGGCAAAAGCCTAGTGAACTCATTGTAAGATATGTCGATAATTCTCAACTTAGGGAACGGATGTTTGCTCTTGGTCGTGAAGGTGCCTATGTGACCATGAAACCTATTAAACCTCAAGACAAGAACTTGTAATTCTGTAAGAGTTTCCAACCAGTGGGGGAATGTATCGTTTATCTTGTTTTTTCCAAGATCTAGAACTTCCAAGTATTCACAATTGAGCAAAGATCGCGAAACTTATCCTTCAATTTGGTTGCCATTCAAGTTAAGATTCCTTAGCAAATTGCCTTTGGTAAATGTTGCAGTAAAGGTGCTAGAAAAGCTATTGATCCCTAAATTCAGCACCGAGAGATTGTTGCTCAAGTTTCCCAAACATTGTGGAATCAAGCCACTCAAACTGTTATTAGACAGATCAAGAACTAGAAGTGAACTCAGACTGCAAATCAATGGAGGGATTTCCCCACTCAATTATTGTTTGAGATAGAGAAAACAATTGTGGTGTTCGGTGGAACAGGGAGTGGTCCTTGGAGTAAGTTGGAGTGCAGGTCAATATACCATAGATTCTTCCATGGAAGACGCTCTAAACTTATAAGGAAATTATGAGAAAGATTTAAATTTTGCAATGAATCTTTCCCCACATTAAATAACCATTTTGGAACTTCACCATGAATTTTGTTATTTGAAAGGTCTAGAGAACGCAATCTGGTTTGCTCTCTTAAGAAGTTTGGGAGTTCGCTCAAGTTACAAGAAGCTAATCCTATAGTGTCAAAGGTGGTCAAGGTAGAGTTGACACTGTTGTTGATGTTCAATGAGAGACCATTATATGAGAGATCAAAATAGGACAAATATTTTAGATTAAGCAGCTTATACACCACTTAAGTTATTGTTACTCAAATTTATAACAACCAGTGAAGGCAGAGCAAACAACAAAGATGGTATTGTACCAGTTAGCTGATTTCTAGAAAGAAACTACTCAGTAAGTTGGCTCAAGTTGCCAAGGGAATCCGGTATTTGTCCGTTCAAGTTGTTTCCGTCCAGATACAAGCCATTAAGCTTTACATGGTTTGAAATTGAGGAGAGGATTTGACTGTCAAAACTATTATCTGCAAAGGCTAGATTGGTGATTTGTGTAAGGTTCCCAAGAGAAGCTGGAATGGACCCCCGAAAAGTTGCAGTTAAAAAGGTACAAAATATTCAAGGCGTTAAGGTTGCTGATTAAATTAGGCAATTGGCCAGAAAAACTTGTCTCGGAGAGATCAAGAAACTGAAGAGAACTAGTCACATTGAAGTTTGGAAGTTTACCTGTGTGTTCCGAATTTTGCTGTAGTTTGAGTTCTCGTAGGTTTGGATAGTGAAAAATGTTATCTGAGAATTTCCCATGCAGTAGACAATAACCAAGATTGAGAGATGTCAAAGAAGATAGATTTAGCAAAGCATGAGGTAAAGGTGAAGAGATATTCAACCAATCAAGGTGTAGTTCTCTTAATTGGGGTAGGTTTCGAAGGATCATATTGAAAGTGTGTTGTTCATAGTAACTATTAGAATGATAGAGAAAGATAAAAGAGAGAGAAGATTATATTGTTGTAAATCTTATATATGAATTGTGTACAAAGAGCTCCTATATAGAGGAGAGAATACATTGGTAGTGGTGTGGTAGGTGTAGTAGGTGTGGTAGGTGTATTGTAAATACATTATACCAAATATATACATTAACAGAATATATACACTAACAGCCCCCCGCAAACTCAAGGTTGATAGACATCTGTATTAAATGGAAGTGTTAATACAGCGAATATGTGTATTATATGAAGTATGGAAGTGGTTAAATTGTGAGTTGTAGACTCACTTTAATTGTGAATTCAGAAAATGTTTTAATGTGAGATATAATCTCACATAACTGTTTGGCCAGGTTCTGAGCCATATTTTGGAATGATCTAGACAAGTAAAGAATTATGAAATGTAACATGGACTTTATGTCATGGAATTGGATAATGTTGTGAATTGGTTTATAAGTGTTAACCATCTATTATATGCTATTGTTTTAGATATTATTCATACTTGGTTTAGTATATTCCTACTGGGTTGTGGCTCACCCTTTATGGGACATCATTTTCTGGTTTAGGTGATATGCTACCTCCAAGGACATAGCTTGGATTGCTTAGAGATTGAAAGACTTTTGTTATTATCTTTTGATGTATTACATGTTAATACAAGCCAAGGGCTTAAAGTGTAATTGAGTTAGTACTCTCTTTTGTGACCAAGTGTTGGCTTGGAAAGTTATAAGCTCATAGGGCATTTACTTTTGTTGTCAACATGTAATACTTTTGTATTTAATTACTCTGATGAATGGAAAGATGTTTACTTCCCTTATGTCTATGCATGTTAAAGATGTGGGTTATATGTATTATTTTGAGGGCATTACAAACAAACATGAGTTTGGAAACTAAGTCACTGAAAGGACCAGGGGGATGAGCCTTGGTGAAGATATCAGCAGGCTGATCAGCAGAGGCAATAAAATGAAGTTGGACTGTGCCACGAGTAACATGCTGGTGGATAAAATGACAGTGGATCTCAATATGTTTAGTGCGATCGTGGAAAACATCATTATAAGCAATTTGAATGGCACTTTGGTTGTCACAGTAGAGAGAAGTCCCATCAATAGAAGCGACACCCATATCAACAAGAAGCCAGTGGAGCCATAGAAGTTCCTGGGTAGTATCTGTAAGAGCTCGATATTCGGCCTCAGTACTAGAGCGAGCAGTGAGAGTCTATTTTTTGCTACGCCAAGAAATAAGTGAATCTCTTAGGAAGAAGCAAAAGCCAGTAGTGGAGCGACGATCAGTGGGATCCCCAGCCCAATCAGCATCAGAATAAGCATGGAGCTTAAGAGAAAGATAGAGAGGAGTAGTGAAGACCATGAAATAGAGTGCTCTTGAGATAGCAAAGAATGTGAAGCAAGGCATCATAATGAGGTGTGCGAGGAGCTGACATATACTAACTGACAATGTGGACAGCATATGAAAGATTAGGTCGAGTAACTGTAAGATAGATAAGACTGCCCACCAACTGCCAGCAAAGGGTAGCATCAAGAAGAAGAGTGCCATCAAGAGGAGTAAGACGAGTCTGAGGATTAATGGGAGTAGAAGCAGTTTTGCAATCAGTAAGTGCAACTCGAGCGAGAAAATCAGAAGCATATTTGGCCTGAGAAAGAAAATAGCCAGATGAATCATGAGAGATTTCAAGACCCAAGAAATAATTGAAAGTACCAAGATCCTTCATCTCAAAGTGTTGGCTAAGAAACTGTTTGAGGTGAAGAATACCGGCCTCATCATCTCCGGTGATAATCATATCATCCACATACAGAAAAAGGAGAGTAGTTCCTTGAGCAGTAGTACGAATAAATAAAGCTGAGTCATAGGGGCTGGAAGTGAAACCAAAGTCATGTATAGTAGCACTGAACTTAGCAAACCAAGCACGAGGAGCTTGCTTGAGTCCATATAAGGCTCGTTGCAGTTTGCAAACTTTATGGGTCGGAATAGTAGACCCAAAAGGAGGTTGCATATAGACCTCCTCAAGAAGATCACCATTGAGGAAGGCATTTTTTTACATCCATCTGAAAAAGGCCCTAATTACGAGCAATCAAGCTACGGACAGAAGTGAGACGAGCAACAGGAGCAAAAGTCTCCTCATAATTAATACCATATTCTTGAGTGAAACCCTGGGCAACCAAACGAGCTTTGTAGCGCTCAATAGATCCATCAGAATGAGTCTTGATTTTATAGACCCATTTACACCCGATCGCAATCTTACCAGGGGAAAGATCAACAACATTCCAAGTATGAGTTGTGTCTAATGCCTGCAATTCATCAGCCATAGCTTGCTGCCAAAGAGGGTTAGAACATGCCTCACGATAGGAGAAAGGCTCATAAGTAGAAAAGGCAGTAAAACCAACAATATAATCACGAAGACGAACATTAGGTTGTGTCACCCTTTGTGGACGACTGGAAGAAGGAGGCTGAATAGGCGAGGGTTCCAAAGAGACATCATGAGGACCATCAGGGAGAACAGGTTCGATGGGATCAAGCGGAAGCAATGGCGTGTCTAGAAAAGGAAGACCTACATCAAAATCAGCTAGAAATAAATTTATAGATGGATCAGTAAAGTGGAGAGTGGAATCTGGAGAAGATAAGTGAAAGGAAGATAGGGAGGCAAACATTTTATGTTCCCAAAAGACTACATGGCGAGAGATACGAAGACGTTTAGAAATCGGATCCCAACATCGATAACCTTTATGTTTAATACCATATCCTAGAAAACAACATAGATGAGAACGAGGTTCTAGTTTGGTATGTTCATGAGGTTGGAGAAGAACAAAACATACAGACCCAAAGACCCGAAGAGCAGTGTAAGAGGGAGAGGTACCATACAATCGCTCATAGGGTGTGTGTAGACACCCCATTTTTGATCGTCCTCAAGACTTGGACGTCACCGTTTGAACACCCGGTGATCATCCATGTTTGTGTTCGTCTTGAGTTCCCGGAGGTCTCGGCCACACGCCTTCCGTCAGGATCTCTCGACTCGACTGTTTTGTGTTTGGTTTTGCACTAGACACTTGTTTTTTTCCTTGGAGGGGCAGGAAATGGCTTGTAGGCCATCCCCACATATCACCGGCCATGGCTTGAGGCCATCGGCCAGTGTTTTGCTGCCATCGGCTAGATATTTGGTCGATCGGCACTCTGGATGGTCGGTCGGCCATCTATTTTGGTCAAATTACATTTTTGTCTGGCCGACCACTGTTCATCTACTTTTGGCAGATATTTTGTGCCAGCTGTGATAGCTGGCACCCACTTTGCTCCCCTTCATACACGTGTATGGAGGGATCTCCCTCTCGACTAGCTTACTTGAGAAGCTTTGCAAGAGTGAGCTCTATAAGAGGGGGCCTCTTCTCCCTCCATTAGGGTTACAAAAAAATCCAGAGAGAGCTCTGATATTAGGGTTAGGGTTTGTATCCATTCTATCTCTATATCTCCCTCTCTCTTTGCCTTGTGTGTGTTTAGTCTTATTATTGCACACAAACACATAGTATTACACTATCCTCTTGGAGCTGAGGCCCTTGGAGGTTGTTCCTGGTGTTCTTGGGTGGTTTTGAGCTCAAAGAACCAGCTGGACCATTGTTCTTGAAGGAGGTCTACAAGGGTAACAACTTTGTCCTTTTATTCCCCATTTTTGCATAGTCTTTTTGTCTACCTTGCAACTATTTTTAGACTTTGTATATAACTAACAAAAGTCTTTTTTTTACTTGCTTAAAATAGTTGTTTAAGGTTGCTTTGAGCTTTGGGGTTGTTTGATCCCTCTTAGGCCTTGTTAGGCCCTATTTTTGTGCTATTTTGGTGAGCTCCGGGGCCACCTTATTTGGGCCTCCTCACCACTAAAATCTTGAGAGATTTTAGTGGTGAGGATGGTGGTTTAAGGTCCCAAAAAGGAGAGGGCCACCCCCTCTCCTTGTTGTCTTCAATATATGCCATTTAAGCCTCATGTGTGAGCACCATTCTTGAGACCATGTTGGCCATGTTTCAATAGGTATTTGGTGGTATTTTGCAATGTTTTACCTCTGTTTTTACTTAGTTTAAACACACCATGCATGCTTAGCATACTTGTCTTGTAATGCCATGTTTTAGCCTTAACATGCTCTAGGCTTTGACCCTTGTTCTAGCATGTTTTTGGCCAAGTTTTGTGAAGCTTTTGTGCATGCCTTAGTGTGCTTTAGTTCTGCTTTCAGTCGCTTTGGTCATGCTCAACATGCTTTGTATAGTCTCTTTGCATTCTAGCTTGTAGGCCTTGAATGTGTGATGTCATGAGCATGCTTTGCTTGCTTTAATTAGTTGGTTTGGCACCTCTATTTTATGCAATTTTAGAGTTTGGTATGCTTGCCATATGCCCATGTTTAGCCTCTTTTAAGTTGCTTAAAAGTTGTCTCTATGTGCCTAAGTGTTGGACCTTGCATGCATACCCATTTGTATGTGTTTTGGCTTCCATTTTTAAGTACTTTGGCCACTGTTTTAGGCATAGTTGAGGGCTACCTAAATTGGTTTAAGGCCATCCTTCGCATGTGTTGCATGCTCGTCTTCCATTCCCTTATTCGGGACACTGACTAGCCGTCACTAGAAGAAATAGCTGCGAGCTAACAGTATTGGGCATGAACCCACAACCTCTTGTTTATCCATCAAACACCCTGGGCAGGGATGAAAAAAAAATGAGAAATTAAAGAATAGAGAGATGTGCGATGAGAGAAAAAGTAAGAAAAGGGTTTTGAGAGAAAAAATCGAGCTCGATGGCAGAGTGATGTAAGAATCACAAGTCAAAAGGGGTGGGAAATAATACCCGAAGAAACTGGCTCCTCATGCACTGAGAGGTCTCTCGTCTTTGTAATGCATCTGTATGTCGTGTCTTTTGTCTTGTTTATCTCAATTCTTGTTTTTAGTCGTATCCGAGCATGTCTCGTTGTGTTTAGGTTGTTTACCTTTTGTTTTTCCGTTGTTGAGTCGTTTTCGCTGTGTTCAGTCGTAGGCTCAAAACCTGGTCAAAAACCCTGTTCTAAAAATCATTTTGTACGCTCAGAGTGCTGTGCCATTCTCCACATTTGTGCAAAACATGATTTGGTTCTTTTGTAAAACCGCATGGGTTCCGGATTGCATCTGAGTGTGCTTCAACTTCTGTCGATTCTACCTTTGTATTCCGTCTTTTTAGATTTGGACTGTTTTCACCGTGTGCAGAATGAACTAAGAATACTGTGTTATGGGCTATGAGTACAAAATGAGCAGTTTTCAGAATAAGCAGCGCGTTGTGTAAGCTGTGTGTATGGGCTGTGTGCAGATTGAACCAAGTGTTGTGTCATGGGCTGTGTGTTCAAAATGAGCAGCGGGTTATTTGAATTGTTTTGCTGTTGGCCGATTCATTATCTGGTTATTACAATACAAGTGTTTGATTTTCAGACAGGAGATCGACCTTATTTACATTAAGATATGATACGATGCAATGCAATGCGTAGTAGGAAATACACAAATGTAACACTTTTTTCAGACAAAAGTTTATTTCATTTCATCATTTTTCAGATACATAGCTTTGAAAAAAATAAAACCTGCCAGCGGCAGTACAAAGTACTCAAAACTACTAGCTAAAAGAGGAAAATGTCTAAACAAAACAAAAAGAAGAAAAGCAGCAAAAATCTGGATCAATGTCAAATGGTCTCAGGCCTAGAGGTCCGTCCTCGTCCTCTTCCTGGATGAAGGTCCAGGAGCATCATCATCAGCGCCGTCATCTAAGCCCGAGTCAGTGCCATCTCCGGTCTCCTCCTCAGATGACTCCGCCTCGGACTCGTCGTCATCTGGAACTGGCGCCCGAGAGCTACTGCCAACATGAGTGCCCCTCGCCTTGGTGCGGGGGTATACTCTGCTATCTCCTCCTCCTTGGGTAGGAACGGAAGGCCCAGCTGGAGCACCTCCTGCAGTGGGAATCAGGAATGGAGGCTGAAAAGTACAAATTACAGACGCATCAGTATGCTACGCAAAACAGAGTATCAATACAGAATGCAGTGTATGAGTACAGTGTACGAATGTTATGAGCAGTATGACGGTACAGAATGCAGTGACTGAGTGTGATGTATGAATGCCGTGAGTAATGCTGTGAATAGTCTGTGGGCTACAGTGCATCAGATGCCGTGAGGGCCGTATATCAAGTGTTGTGTTGTGCATCAGACTATGTGAAACAGTTTATGTATGGTTTGAGACTGTGGCCAGAAGAACATACCGGAATACTGTACATAGCTAGAAGATCGAGGCTCCACTGGAGCATCCCCATCACCGAAGCAGTCAACTCCAGGGACTGACGAGTGTACTCGGAGGAAGCCTGCAAAAGTGTTAGAAGCATCAGTATTCTACGAAATATCAAATGAAATGAAATGACAATGCAAGATGCAAAATGCAGTAGTACATACTAGAGGCAAGTCGTAGAATCTGACCAACTCATGATCAGTTGGAGGGGGAGCAATGGGGATTTGGTAAGTCTCCCCACCCTGCCCTCGGCATGTCATCGTCGTGGGCAGTGCTGGCCAACTAGCCCCCCGCCCTCTCCGAGCCTCACTCCTACCACGGACTCGAGCTATCCTCGATGCTCCTGCTCCCGCTCCTGCCCTAGCCGTTGGGGCCACGGGCCACTCTCTCTCAACTCGACGGCCACTGCTCAAAGGCCACATGATGTAGGTCTGGACGTACTCTGCATAGTCGCCCTCGCCCCTGAAGCCCTCAGCATCCCAGCCGATCGTGTAATCAGCCATCTGCTCAGGAGTGAACCTCTCTGTCTCCCTCATGTGTGTAGGAGGCGGACCCGGAACTATCTGCTGCTCTGGTAAACCCAGGGTCTGGTGCAGGAAGCGCTCACCTATTTACCAAGCCCGACAGACTGGGCCCGACAGCAGGATCCTGAACCGAGCAGTCTCCTCAGCACCGGCAAACCGATCTCTCACCACGGCTGGCAATGGAGCCCAGGGCTGCCAGGTGATCTGA